CCAGAAACTCTATGTACGAACAGTGCTCAGGCCGTTCGTTCATAGGGTCGCTATGAGTCATCTACAACTGGACGGCACCAAACACCAAACAACAACATCAACAACATTTCTTTCTTTATAATGTCTAGTTTTCCTGCATTCATGTTTCTCACATTCCCTGTACCAATTGTTAATTTCGTCTTGCAACTGTTTCTCTTCCTTTCTGTTGAGAAATTTGAGAGTTCAACTTCAGTTGCCATATCTGTTAATCTACTCTAAGTATGCTCTGCTGTATATAGAGTTTTCAAAAGTGAGTTATATTTCAGAAGTGGATGCCCAATCCATCTTCCTAGTCTGTCTTAATTTGGATGTTCACTGTTAGAAAAATATCTGACAGACAAGTATTTTTAAATAAAAATAAAACTTGTGCCGTTAACTTAAAGACTTCCCTTCTTCAGTGTTTGGAATCCAGGAACTACTCCAAGAAGGACAGAAAGACAACCTTCCCCTGGGAAACGTGCTGAAGAGTCAGCTATGAGTCAGAATCAACTCTGCAGCAACAAGAGAGTTCTTTTACTTCAGTTACTAAATATGAGGCTCTCTTCACTTTACATACTCAATTTAGCTAAGTATCCAAATTAAGGCAGTCTAGGAAGAAGGATTGGCCATAACAACAACAACATACAAAATTCATATACAATGTGTTTCACACTTTCATTCATTCATATTATGTTTCTTACTATTATTCTCATATATTATGTCTTATAAAATTAGTCACCATTCATTGATCTATGCCCACCATTACCCTCCCTGCCTTTTCAGGTCCACATTGGATCTTTCCTGTTTTTTTCACCCCTTTCCTCAGCCCTGTAATTTCCCCCCCTTCCCACTCTAAGCACCCCTGATCCCTCCATTTTCCCCCTTGAACCTTCAACATTTTACTAGTTATCCTTCTATTTTTATAATAGTGGTCTTATGCAATATTTGTCCTTATGAGACTGAGTTAGTTCAGTCACACTCATTTAATCTTCCCCAAAATTTATGAAGTAGGCTCTATTGCTATAATTTTCTTCATTCCTATATTAAAGGTGAGGAAACTAAGACACTGAGCATCAATTTGAGCAACTTTCTCAAAGTGAAATAATAACCTGCAGAATCAGGAATTTGAACCCATGTGTTCTGGCTTGAGTTGATGCTCTCAACACCATAATTTTGTTATTTTGTACTATTGAGTTGGAACTTACTCATAGCTAACCCTCTAGTGGGTTGTCCATGTTTCTTTTCTAGAATAGCTGATTCTATTTGAAAAGCATGCCTTTGGGTTGGCAGCACAAATCCTTACCACTAAGCAACCAGAGCTCCTTTAGCACCATAACCAAAACCTAAACCCAAGGTTATCTAGTTAATTCTGACTCATAGTGAGCCTGCCCCTCCCCATGGATTTTCTGTGGCAATAAATCTTTATCGGAGAAGATTTCCAACCTTTCTCCCTCTGAGTAGCTGGTGAATTATAACCTCACACCTTACAGTTAGAAATTCAACACTTATGCCAATGAAGACCAATTGTAATGGTGAATTTTGTTTCCATCTTTCAGAATAATTTGTCCTTTCTCTTGTAAGTGGTGATAGATGCTGTGGAAGAGGTATGTAACACTAATTAAATAGTGTGCTGAATAATCTCAAATTGCTTCTGATTTATTTCATTTCTAAAAAAGTCGAGTTTGATATGGAAGTATTTGAAGTGTACGATTTTTTCACCATGTAGGCCCATATGTTCATCAGAGAGCCTTAATGTTAAACTATTTAAACACTGTATCCTTCGACTTAAGATCTAACAAAAGTGCATGCATAATAGAGAGATTGGAGCCAGATAATTTTCAATATTATATTATCTCCTACAAAAGAGGAACAAAAATTTCAAGTATTCAGTCTTAACTAGTCACTGTGGAATGATTTTTTGGTCTTATTTGACTCTAGTTTTATCAGCTTAATACCACAGCTTGGGAAATGGATAAAAGGAGTATAGAGATTTCTATGTGCAATTTCCAGGTTATTTCCCTTGGTCATTACTTAACTTTCTAGAAAACACTTGGTAGAAACCATCCAGTTTACTTAAAAATAAAACGCCAAAGGGCAGTATTGTTTTAAACTAGTAGTCCCACACTCTTGCATATTCTTCAAATACCATGTATGTGAGAGAGTTTTCTTCCCAGAATTTTCTTCCTTCACATATTTCCCATTTTCTAACTTGTAGAAATAATCCTTAGGATGCTGGTCATTTCCATGGTCTCTTGAGCTTCTTTATCAACATCTTTTCCATAACATAACTCTGCTTCTTGCTCTCATTGCACTCTACCTAGTTTTTAAGCCCTGATGATAGTCTTCAATCTTCAAGCAAAATGTCAACTCTATACTTTATGCTACCTTGGACTCAATACTTACCAAAGCCTTTTGAAATTATTTCTCTTTATTCTTTTCCCGGGAGTAGCAAAAAGCAGAAAAGATTTGCATTTAATTTTATTAAGGTTTAGAGAAAATGAAGCAAAAAATCTTCTTTTTTGGAGCCATCCAGCTATTCTTCAGAGTTTCCTTAGTTAGATAGAATCACATAGATTAGTGAGCCCACTAGATTTCATAATTTGCAAAGTTTAACCCATACACATATTGATCATATTTTCTTAATGTTTCTTGTACTTTTATCCTTTGCCTCAGCATTGTCAGAATGTTTTCCTTTCAGATACCCTCAATATTAAAAAATATGGATATTGTTTATGGAGGAAGTTAATAAATTGGTTATGACTGTACTGGAATTAGTTATAGCATTAAATTTCTAGATGCTAAAAAAACCCTTTTCAGTGAAAAATTAAGAAAACATTTTCCCACAGTTAAATCAACTAGAAGGATACATCATCATGTTCTAGATCAAATACATACCATCACCTTATGAATTATATATATATATAATTTCAGATTAAAAGAAAATCTTGAATTGCCATCTAGAAACAATTTTTTAGAGATAGTGTGCACATTGGTTCCTGAAAATGTTAGAAATGGTTTCTTGTCAAATTCTCCAGCACAAGTGTGAATGCTGTGTTTTTGAGTACTTAATAGTAGTGAAAGGACACATTGTGGCCAGCCAACTGAAATTGCTACCCATGTTTAATAATTGTAAATAAAGGAAGCAGAGAGTCTCATGTTATATTTTCAGAACTGGCATGCTCAATACAGAAATAACAGTTTTAAAATATCACTGAATAGTCTATTTTAATTAATCTAGACTTCTGTGAAAAAAAGAAAATAAAAAGTAAAATTGGTCACTTAAATGTATTGCTTATATCATGCAATTAGTACTTATACAAAGCATTAAAGAAGAGGACTCAATACAATTCTGTAACATTTGAAAAACAGTTCAAAATTGACAAATTTCATTTTAAAATACGTAGAGCTTTTCTCCTCTCAAGAAACAAGATAATCTTTGTCAGTTAAAAGTAAAAACCACCTATGAAACACATACACAGTTTGAACAAGATTAATTGTCCTACTGTGAAATGATCTGGCATCACTGCTAAACTTCTACATACTGTTGGTACATAGCGTGCTTTCTGAAATACTGTATATAGAAAAGCATCAGAGGTAAGAATACTTTGAACAAAACCCTATGGATCACAGGGACACAATAATGAAAGGATGTTGGAAGAAAGAGTCAATGCATATTGTCTATAGATCTCTTAAACATATGAGTTTCACAATTAAAAGGGTTGGCAATTTTTTTTCCATTTTTATACACTGTGTGCATTCTGTCCTTGTTTCTATTTGTCTCAAAACATGATTATAGAACCATATGCAAAATATTAGCGTCAACTTGTATTACCAATTGGCCCCCACAGACGTTTAGGTGAATTACATACTAAATTTGATTAATTGAGATCATAAAGAACATATCTATCCACAATAGATATTAGTATAGGGGCACATTTCTTAGGACAAATATGCAGTACCTTAGATTATGCACAAGGATATTCTGGTATGGCACAGTCATAGTCATTACAGGAGGGTATGTGAGAAGTTTAATCTATCACATATCTTATTTAAAGCACCAGGAATAGAGAAACTTCTGCAGGAAACTTGCACACATGACCAAGCAGATACCGTGTATGTACAAAAATGTTTCACAACTACATTTCAGATGAGAATCACTGTGATTGCTACTCCACTGCAAGTAAGTTGACTCATTTATCACTTCTTCTGTGAATATTGTATTTTTCTTTTATGTTGCTGGCACTTACAGTCAATATGTATTTAAATTCAAACTCCAGAGATGCTGGGGAAAACATTATGTAGATGCTCATTTTGTACAAAACTTGCAGCAGGTCAAGAGATCTTTTTGTTGGAAAAAATCCAAGTATGAAGTTGTTATTAAACAATAAAATTTGCACTTTAAATGTATTTTCAAAGTTGTAAAACTTTTGAAGTAAGTTAAAAAGCCATAAAAGTTGCTCAAAATAATCTTAAAAGAACTGCTTGTCTATTCATTTGCTGGAGAAATGTACATTGTTTACCTACCTACCAGTTAGCCTACAGCTGTGATTGCCTAACAAAACTAATAGCTGTTATGAGTTCTTAATTTAGTCTGCAAGAGTTGTCTGCTATGCTGAAGTTATAAATTCTTCAGTTACATTATTTCCCAGCTAACCTTTATGGATAATCTTCCAATTGGAGTTCCTCAATAGTTCTTTCTTGATAAATTCAGGTCCTTCACTTACTCTACAAAAGTATTCATTTCCAATTCAACTTTGTTGAACATTTTAAAATTCATTGAAAGTCTTTAAGTTTCCATTACTGAAAATATCATGTAAATATTTATATAGTCATAATTGTAGAGAAGATAATTCACCTAGTAAGCTTCCAGTTCATATACCATAAAATATATTCTAAAGCAACTGCATTCATAATTTTTTCCAGGAAGAAATCAATACTGTATACTGGAACTAGGTACCATAATACCAAAAAAGGTACTTCCTCCCCACTATTCTGGAAAAGTAAACAAAAATATTTTGAGTACAAAAGCAATTTCTGTGCCTTTTTCTTCAAATGCTTTTCTCAGCACCTCACTGATAGTAGGTCTACTTCATGCGTGGTTTGACAGACACTACATATGTTCTTGTAGCTGTTCAGAATAATTCTGATTTTTCACTACCAAATATCACTGGTGTAACTAAACTCTTTGGATGATAAAGGTAGCAAAGAACTGTTCCTATACAATTCTTGAGTATTTTTCAAGGTGTTAGTAATGGGTAGTTGCCCACTGAGTAGTGTGAGAGGAAGGTTACAATAAGTGTGATGGTTGCCTAAAGAAGGTACTGGCAAGGAAGATGCTGGCATCTCATGCTTATAGCTTCTGCAACAGTGCCTCATTTGCATTGAATCTGAATGGTGTAAATTGGGGAGATCAGCTAGAGATGACACCAGAGTGGCCGAGGTACTAGTCATGGCAATAGAGGGTATAGGATGCAATTCACCAAAAAGTCCTTGTTCTTCAGAGTCCAGAACGTCGCACTGAGATAGCATATCCTTTTTCTTGATTGGCATTTCATACACTAAATGCTTCCAAAACTTTGAATTTAATTTGCTGCTTTTGGGTCCCTTCCACTTGATCAGAGACAGAAGCTTGATACTGTGCTTTAGTGATTCTACTTCCTGGCAATTTACTTTCCCTGTTAATTCTGTACACTCAATCAAAATCACTTTAATTTCTCCATTGACTATCATGTTATGAAGTCTGCTTTCCAATGCAAAAATGCTCCATCCCCGTCTGAGAATATAGTTTGGAGTTAGCACGATGATAAGTCTTCTGCTTTGCTCAACACATCTTGTGATATCTTCCGTGTATGCTACAAATCACAGAAAAAGAGAAAGAGTAAAACAAAGACATTTTCAGTCTTTAAAGCATTAGTCTGACACTCTAGTATAGCAAAGATCCAGTCTTTCTTTAACTTACAAGGCATTTTATTTTCTTGAATTATATATTCAGAAAGCTAATTTCCTTTAAAAAATTTTCTTTTTTAAAAAATAATGGCTTATAATTCTTATCCCCTCCCCCAGGATTACTTATAGCATTTTATTGGTTAACATAAGCTCTGTCTTCTTTAGGACTGAGGTGTATTTCAGTTATTTCTCTTTGTTTCGTTATTTAATTCCAGGCAGGCTTCTAGGCCAAGGACTCTTACATAAACAAGCAATCAGTGGGTTGATGAAAAGAGAAATAGAGCATTTTAATAAGTACATGGCTACAAAAGTATTTATGAGTTTTGTTTGTCTCTACCCAACTATCCCCTCCCCCCAGTTTCAACGACTAGACAAGTACAAGGTCTATATATACTAACAGCTTAGAAGATAGTTGTAATGTCAAGATATTGGAAAAATCTTTTCTAGAATTATGGTCAGCTTATTTCCCAGAATATTCTCCCTGCATTTACAACCCAAGTCATCCATTTTACCCTTCAGACCAAGAGATAAGGATGTAGTGTGTGTGCTCATAAGTTTAATTTGAACCAGCTGCTTTTTGTTTAGAGGGTGTGCGCTTGAAGGGGAGTGGTGGTTGGATTTGGGGGATGGTGTGAAATGAACAGTGAAGGAGACAGAAGAGTGTGTGTCAAATGAGAAGATTTTGCTCCACTCTATGAAATCATTCTAAAAATGACATGAATACATTTCAGGATAGCAAAACACTCACACTAATTCTAGATTTGTTCCTTCCATGAAATATTCCCTTTGCAATCATGCTTCCCAGAGACTTCTCTGTGGACACATGTACGTGTTAGCAAATGGAGACTTGGACACAGGTGCTGCAACAGAGAGCTGTCTTTACCAAGCAGATCATAAGGGCTTGTCTAATGTACAGTGCCCTCTAGCAGCAGAGCTTACAGAAGCATAGCAACATTTGTCACTTCAAATGTGCCCCAGGTTACAGGCAGCTTTCAAGGAGTCACGTCCAGTACATAGTGTGGGGGCCAACAAATAGCTGAGTACAAGCCATTTAAAAAGAGCTTAAACTTATTTTACAGATGCATATTTTACAGATGATATCTCTTTTCCAGGCTTTTATTTCAACAATTGGCAGCATGAAGACTTTCACAAGTAAAAATGAGCAAACTTTCTCAACATCCTAGAGATATAAACAAGAAACCTTTTACAAAATACACATAGACATTTAACATAATACACAGGCCTATTTAACAGTGTGCTCTTAAGCTGTTTGGGTTTCAACTTAACACATTAAAGAATTTTCTCATGCAATAGTTATAATGGTTTTTACTTGAGGGGATAAGATAAATTCTAAATGGGGAGAGAACCTCTAAGGCATTTTAAGTGTTTTATTTCAGAGCCTAAAATAACTCAAAGAGAGGAAATCAGCACTGAAATCTGAAGACAAGCCAAAAATATAAAAACAAAACAAACCAGATTTTAAAAAACAAAACAAAACAATAAAACAAAGAAAACCAAAGCCACCACACCAGTAGTAATGAGAAGTTATTACTCTCTAGTTATCACTTAGAGAACTGGTAAAACAGAATGGAAAGAAAGGTACAGAGTTTCAATTATGTGGAAAAAATATTATCCCAATGTATCAACAACTCTGACTCTTAATTTTCTTCCTTTCTTTCTACTCCCAAAAAGAAAGAAGTTATGTGGGAAGCTTCATCATTAGAAGTTGGATCTGTAAAGATACAGTAAAATAAACTATCATGCATCTTTCCCATTATTCTTTTCACCTTTCCTCAACAAACAAACAAACAACCCAAATGAACAACAACAACAACAACAACAAAAAGCCAAACCAAACCACACAACCAAATAAACAAAAGCAGCAATAAAAATAAAAAGAAGCCAAAGCCCAGAATCCTGGCATTAATACAGGAATTCAAGAAAGTTCAGATTTATCAGACAAGTTATGAGTTAACTATTACATTTATAGGTTTCTTTAATAAATTACCAATGAGTACCCTGAGTACTGTTGATCCCTCATTAATTGCATTTATTAACTTAAAAAATTGGTTTGTACAAATATTTTCAGGAGCAATTTTTTTTTTCAGGAGCACTTCTAATACATAAAATTTATCTTTTGTACAATGTTACAGACAAGCGCTGGAGTAGGAACTTCAAGACTTATTGAAAACTCCTATTTGATTTTTTTTTAAATATTATTTTTTTGTGTGTGTGTGTACCATCAAATGAGATCTGACTGGTACAGGAGTAGATTGTCTCTTCTTCTCCAGCAGAGCATCTGAGATTGCCATGCAGCTTCTTACCACTAGGCCACCAGAGCTCCCTTCCTATTTGCTTTTTAATGTAATGCAATTTTGTCTTCACTCTAAAATAAAATAAATGTAACATCTACTGGCAAAAAATTTTTCACCAGAACACCTACACTTGTTGCACCTATAACTTTAAACCACTAAAAAAAGCTTTCCACATTCCTTCCCCCACCCCTCTATAGGCTAAATAAGAATTAAATACACTTGCTCTGATGTAGCTATACATTCTTGAATATACAATTAAGAATGGATTTCTTGCATATTCAAGAACTTCTTGTATCAATATGTGTTAAGTGTTTATATTTACTTAAGATAACACAACCTTGATTGCTAAAACTGAGGAGGACCTGAAGCGTTCACTGAAGAAGGTCAAGTCTTAAATAAGGATTGAAACTCATCATCAAGAAGACAAAGATTCTCATCACTGGGCCAATTGGCAGCACCATGATAGATGGAGAAGAGACTGAGATTGTTAACAATTACAGCTTGCTCAGCTCCATAATAAACATTCTTGGCCCCAGCAATCAGCAAATCAAAAGACGAATTGCATTGGGAAAATCTGTTATCAGAGACCTCTCCAGTGTACTGAGAAACAACAATGTCAGTCTAGAGACTTAGGTGCATCTGATCCAGGTCATGGTCCTTGCAATTACTTGGTATGCATCACAGAACTGGACAATGACTAAGGATGACAGAAGAAGAATTGATGTTCTTGAGTTGTGGTGTTGGAGAAGAATCTTGAACATACCATGGACCACCAGAAAACAAATAGGTCTGTCTTAGAAAGGATGAAATCAAGTTTCTTCTTGGAGGCTAGAATTTTGAGCTTCATCTCACATACTTTGGGCATGTGGTCAGGAGGGACTGGTCCTTGGAGAAGGACATCATGCTTATAAGGGTGGAGGGACAGCACCAGAGAGGAAAATCACAGATAAGATGAAATGATACAATAACTAGGGCAATGGGGGTAGGTGTATTGGAGTTAGTGAGACTGGCTCAGGACAGGGCTATTGTATATAGGGTTGCTATGAGTGGCAGGCTATTTGATGGCGCATAACAGCAACAACAGCAACAACAATGGAGTTTGTAAAAACAAAACAGTGTTGAAGGAAATACTGAGGGAAGGCCCTCCTTACATAGATGCCACAGAAAACAGGTTGGATCAAAGTAACCAGCACCAACATAAAAAAGAACTGAACAAAATTTTAGCAATAGAGCCTTGCCTCTCAATAATTACACTGAATGTGAATTATTTAAATGCACCAATGAAGAGAAAAAGAGCAGAAGATTGTATAAGAAAAACAAAATCTACACAACAAATCTCATCAATATGTTGTCTACAAAGGACATACCTGGAAAATGAAGATAAAAAAAATAAATAAAAGGGTGGGGAAAATGTACTAAACAAATGACAAAAAGATAAAAAGCAGGAGTAATGATATTAATATCTGATAAAATATATTTCAGTGTAAAAATCATCACAAAGGACAAGAAGGATTAAAGGGTAAATAGAACAAGAGAACATAACAATAATAAATATCTGTGCACCAAAAGATACAGCTGCTAAATATACAAAGCAAATATTAACAGAACCAGAAAAAAAAGACAACGTCTCATGTTAATACAGCACTCTCTAGAAAATATAGAACTACCAGAAAGAAATGAAACAAAGATGATGCAGAATTAAACTACACAATAAACCAACTCAATTTTACAGACTAATACACCTTGCCCCCAAAACACAATATATCTTCTTCTCCAACATGCATGTTACATTTTCCATAATAGACCACATTTTAGGTCACTACGTAAGCAGCAATATATTAAAATACACACAAATAATACAAACATATTCTCAGATCACAATGCTATGAAATTATAAATTAATAACAAGAGGATAAAGGAGAAAAAAGTCAAACATTTGGAAGCTGAACAACATCCTGTTTGAACATCAGTGTGTAACAGAAGAAATAAAAAAAATCACATAAAAAGTTTCTTGAAATAAATTACAATGAATAAACAACTGAATAAAACCTCTAGGAAACATCCAAAGAAGTCGTTAGAAGTCAATTTATAGGAATAAGCAAACACATCAAAAGAGAAGAAAAAATAATTAACCCAACATCTCTAACAGGTTGAAAAAGAAGAGAAAGAAATCCTGACACCCTTTAAAAAACTTGAAATTATACAAAATTAGGGCTCAAAGAAGTGAAATAGAACACAGGAAACAACAACAACATTGAAAGCATCAACAAGATTAGGAGTTCATTCTTCAAGAACAATAAAATCATCAAACCACTAGCAAAACTAACACAGGAAAAGAAAAATATAATCTGAATAAGAGATGAAAAGGACAATGTTCAACAGAACCAACTACAAGAAAAAGGTTAACAATGCAATATGATGAACAACTATACTCAAACAAATATGAAAACCTAGAGGAAATGGACAAATACTTAGAAACTCACAACCTACCTGAACTGACACTGACCAAAGTAACACACTTGATCAGACCCATTACAAAAGAAGAAATTGAATAGGTAATAAAGCAACTTCCAACAACAACAACAAAATAA